GTGTGTGTGTGTGTGTGTGTGTGTGTGTGTGTGTGTGTGTGTGTGTGGCAGGGAGGGATATGTCACCTGAGTACAGGTACCCAGGGAGGTTAGAGGCATTAGGCCTTCCAGAGCCAGAGTTAGGCAGTCACAAGCTTCCTGATAGGAGTCCTTAGAAGAGAATTCAGGTCCTTTGCAAGAGTATTATGTGCTCTTAACTACTGAGCCATTTCTCTACTCCTAAAGCCATAGATTACTAAAGAAAAAAAGTCAGTGTTCAGGTGGATTACATTCCTAGGAGTTGTTGGACAGGGAAGCTCCTGAGACCAAATAATACAAGCAATTGCCACTGTTCTTAGTTGCCCAGAAAATCTTGATGGTAAGAACACAGTAATGAATATTTCACATATTATAGTCACAGTTTATAGAGAAATCAAGCTAGGACTGAGCTAAATGCTTCCTGTCTGCTGACTAACTGTCATAGGGTCAGAAGTGTCATGCAGGCTGCTGAGAAAGGATGGTCATTGATAGGCCTGCTCAGCTGTGGACTCTGTGTGCAACAATCCTGCTTGGCCAAGCAAGATGAGTCCATTCATGCAATAGTGACAAGTCTGCTACAGGATAACCAACTGTTACTATTTTATTGCTATGAAGAGACACCATAGCCAAGGCAACTTATAAAAGAAAGCATTTAATTGGAGGCTGCTTACAGTTTGAGAGGGGGGAGTCTATGGCCATCAGGGCAGGGAGCATGGCAGTAGGCAGGCATAGCAATGCCCCAGTAGCTAAGAGTTTACATGTTCAAACAACAACCACAAGGTAGAGAGAGACAAAGAAACACACACACACAGAGAGAGAGAGAGAGAGAGAGAGAGAGAGAGAGAGAGAGAGACTAAGTAGAATAGTAGAGTAGCAGGAGATTTGCAAGTGTTCAAACATATGAGTCTGTGGTGCCATTCTCCTTCCAACCACCACACAACTGCTTTCTGATTGAACTTGATGCCTGCTCCACAGGAGGGAATTCTGCTACCACAAATCTGAGCAAAAACTCATGGCTGGGTAGGCCATAGGTCCTACTGTGGTTGTTTTTTCCAAATAGACAGGATATGCCCATCAAATTGCCTTCAAATTAATGTTGCTGTCAGCTTAAGACAAATGTGTTGCTTTATTTGGCAGTCCATTACTCAGAAGAATGCCAACAGTTCAAGATACTGAGAATAAATGACTATTGAATGCCCAGCCATAAATGAGACATCTATATCGCCCTCTCCAAGACTCAGGGGACTAGTGCAGTAAGGAGCAGAAAGAATGTACAAGCTGGAAGGAAGTGTGGAGATTAGTAGGAACACTGACCAGGCATTTAGTGGCTCATACACTCTTGAACTCCTAACAGCTATGATTAACTGCAGACGATCTGCACAAAATTGAACCCATCAATATGTTGTAGTAGAAGGTTTCATGGGACCCATTCTCCCACAAGGACTTGCACACAGTTAATGGTTGATAAGAAAGGAAATTTTCTTCAGTGGTGTAGCTACTGGTAAAGTACCCATGTTCCTATAAGCAACATTAATAAAATTCACTGACATACATCCCAAGAAAAGATTTTAAAAAGTAAAAGGGACTTGAGTGAATAATGGGGATAAATATGATCAAAATACAGTGAGGAGATCATGCATACAAACAAATGAGACCTACTGTTGTGTATAATTCATGTATGCTATTGAAAGAACCAAAAAAAACTTACTCTTTTAAACCTGACCTACATATTAAAGTATGTGCAGAAAAAATAGTATTTGGTAAAATAATCAAGTGAAATTTTATTATATATATATATATATATATATATATATATATATATATATATTTAAAAAGAGAAATCATATTGATCGTTGTGAAAGCCAAATAGTAGGTGCACAGTGATCATTGTGTATATAACATCATTCTATCATTCTTATATAACATCATTTCTATGCATATGTGTGTGTGTCCATATGAAAACAGAAGCACATATGTATCTATGCTCAAGCAAATATTGTTGGCTGAAATACAGTCATCCTTCAACACCTGCTGGATGGTTCCAGAAACATCTATGGATTCCCAAATCCAAGGATACTTAAGCACTTTAAATTTCATATAGTATATACACATCCTCCTGTATTCTGAGTTATCTCTAGGTCACTGATAATACCATAGCCACCTGTCAGTCAGCAATGGGAATACGTTTTGAGCAATGCATGTTTAGGATTTTTGATTGTCAGGAGCTCATGGAGTAGACCTACACAAGCTACGATGGCTACACCATCTCTAAGCAATATGACTCAAGGACCATAGTGGTTAATGCAGTCTGTCTTTGACAAAATAATGACGATTTGTTGACCAATGCATGACTATGGTTGCTATAAGGGAATTTTACCAAGAAAAAAATCTTGACATGTTCAGTGCAGGGTTTTTTCCAAAAATTTTTGTCTAGTGAGAACAAGAATGAACTCACAGTTCTAACCAAATACACTTGATCTTAGCCAAAAGGCTGAGAAGTGATCTAACCAAACACATACTGATCTCTACCCACATCATCAAACTATTGCTGTGCAATTGGCATTGCTCTTGTAATGTCTTATAGTGTTTAGAACTGTTGGGGGAATCCTTCGTTTAACATGTAACATACTTCATTCCCTTTGTCACACTACAGTCTGCCAAGCAGTCCTTGAAGAATTAATATTCTTAACTCATTTCTCAATTCAGCCCTGCCAAAAAAATGTTAGGAAGGAGAGTAGCTGCTTGCCCCTACCAAAGTGCCTCGCTACATTTTGTCATAACCTAACATTTCCCCTTTCTTGTACAATTGTTTCATTTGGTTTAGGGAATTAAAGAAGGCTATGATGAAAAAATAGCCTTCATTTCCACTCTTTTTCCTTTACCCTGGGGTTTCTGTGTACTTACAAATAAACGTACCAAAACTGTTATTATTTCACAGATATCTTTATAAAGTAGGGGACCATTTGGTAAATACGCTTAATCACAGGCACTTTGAAATGCAGTCACGTTAGTGTGTTTTTGAGTGGATGTAAAACTCTACATCTCTCTGACCTGATAGTAAGTCATCTTAGTAGTTATGTCATCACTGTGACCAATGATGTAACAAAAACAAATTCAAAAGGAGGAAAACTATTATTCTGACTCTTGACTTCAGAAACATTAATCCAGTTTCTTCACCCAGGCAGATTGTCACTTTGGCAGAAACATGGAAGAGGCTGGTCACTCCTTGATAGACAGGAAGCAGACAAAGGAGATACAGGGAGAAGCCAGAGCAAGCTATAACTGCAGTCGGCACGGCCACACCCACGATTACTTCTTTCAGCTAGGCCCACTTCCTACTTTTCAACACTTCCCAAAAGTAATATCTTATCATAAATAAGTCAAGGGATTAATCCGTTCGTCTCTGGAAACTTCACAGAAGGGAGCTTCACTAATCTCACTGATATTCCACTGGAACAAGTCAACAATCAAAACCATCAAGAGTGGCGTGAGGGTTTCTCTCTTTCGGATAAAAGAATCCTATGGTGAGGCGAGTACCAGAACAATGTCCACTTTGTTCACTTGGCCCCAACGACAGTAGTTTAGGCTAGAAAAACAAGATTAGGATTTGCTCTGTAGTAGGTCCCAAGATTTAGCTCAACCTCAGACATCAAATTAGATGGCATCCAAACATGGAATTTCAAGGCGTTAGGGACCTTCTCCAAGCTGCTCTCTTCATGGATTGCTTGATTCTGAAGGAAAGAGGGAAAATACAACATGTATCCCCCTGATAAGCTTTTAGAGCCCTCTAATGTCTCTGTCTCTTCCTGTTTCAGATGGGTGAATCAAACGAAGACATAGACCAGATGTTCAGCACTCTGCTGGGGGAGATGGATCTCTTGACCCAGGTAAAACTCAATTCTTAACCTGAAAACTGTGAGGGGAGCGGGTGAGCAGGGATTGTAGGATTTGATACAAGTGCTTCCTTTAAACAACGTCAGAGATTAGCAACATCATGTGTCCTGATGTAACTATGACAGTGTTGGGAGAAAATAGTAAAGCTTTGCATTGGTTCTGCTCCTCACTGCACATGGTTTGGTCTAACGATCACACATACAGGCTTATGTCAGTGTCCAAGTTTACCATGTCCCATGAAGGAACTCCCATGCTTCCTTCATCAATGACCTCTGAGTAACAGCCCTAGTGCTTACCTACCTTCATAGAGACTAGCCGACAAAATCGTACTGAGTAACAAACTTTTGTGTCATCCTTTAAAGAAATACTATATTTCAAAGGAGTATTATGATGTTCTGAATGGACAAACTCAGTCTCCTCTAGGAAGCATGAAAGCCACTCAGCCACAGGCTGCATATCTGAGAAAAGCAGCCAATCAAGACTATAGTGACCTCACTGTGTCAGATCATCCAGAGCCCAGGAGTCAGAGGCTGAAGGACCACTGACTCAAGTCACAAAGTCCTGTGAGCTTTTCTGTGTCCTTGATGTTCTTACAACTGTTTCTTAATTTCTGGAGTCACTAAACTCATCACTTCCACACACAATGTTAAAATACAGTTAACACAATAGTCTAAAAAAGATGAAAGTGTTAAGGTCTCTTCAAAACAAATATACAGTCTGATTTGAGGACAGTTTGCTCAAGAGATAATTAACTATTTTTAGTTAGCATCTATTTTTTATTCCCAATAAAATTCATAGAAGTTTGGATTCTCTGAAAGAAGAAACAAAGGATAAAGGCACTTGCTATCAAACCTGATGACCTGAGTTCAATCTCCAGGACTTGCATACTAGAAGGGGAGAACTAATCTCTGCAAGTTAGTTTCTGGCCTTCTTCACATGAGTACCATGCATGACACATGTAAACACATACACACATACACACACACAGCACAGTAGACAATTTTTTATTTTTTAAAAGAACAGAAACAATATGAGGCTTTGGGGAAATCAAGTTGTTTGAGGGTGGGATTTTTTTTATTTGTAATAAACTTGTTTTATCTTAGCATATTAACTATAACACAAATGGATACAAGGAACAGTGAGATATAAAATACAGTTTCTTTTCTGAAATCAGTTTGTCACTGGGCTTGTGGAGCTCTTTCAGCTGTTGCCTGCCACTGGACTTCTGGGCACCAGAGGCAATAGTTCTACAAGGTAGGGGCTAGCCAAGTAGACACTCTGACCCAACTCCAGTGATTTAAACGCAAAGTAAAACAAGACAAGACATTTACACAGAACAACCATAATCTCAAAGGCTTACACACCCTTGCACAGTCAACCTAAGGAAAAGGCATAATTGTGGAATTTAAACTTATATACAATAGCATCATTTTAATTTTGTGCTTGCTTTGGAACTCAGCCCCAATGTAGCCCAGGCAGGCCTAATTCACAAGCATGACCTAACTCCATACCCCTTTACTTCTCCTCTCAACTGAGCCACCAAGCCTGGCTCATGTCATCATCAGTGAGTGCAGTCACAGGCAAATGACACTGATGTTCTCAGTGTAAACTGACATGTTATACTACTGCATCTTTTGATTAAATATTTATCAAATATTTAGTCACAGACTAAGAACAGGAGAGATTATGAGAAATTTCTAGTTTTTATGGCCTCTGCAGTCTAAATGGGGCAATTAAAAGGTGTGTAGATCCACCAATTACCATACTTCAAGCCTTTAAAATGTCCAGTTGAGGAGTGGAAAAAGGAGGGTGGGATTTATAATGTAATCACATTTCAGTGGACCGTGGTCTTTCTCTGTGCATTTACCCACATCTTTGACTAATGGAAGAAATGAACATCCTAACTGGTCAGAGTCAAGGATGTTCACTGTCACTCAAGAGTAAGAAAAGAACCTTATCTCATCTCCTGGGTCTGCCACAGTCAAGGTCATTTAGGTTTTGGTCTTTGTTGTGCCCAAGATGATGAAGTCCTGAGTTCTCTTAATTCATGGGAGTCTCCCAGGTGAGTCTCAAGGTTTGAGTCTGGAGAAGAACGGTCCTATCTTGTGATTGTCTATGATCTGTTCTGTAATTTGAAATTTTCCAACTTCCTTCTGAGACGATTGGGTATTTCCCCAGTCATTCAAAGAGCTGCTGTTTTGATATCTATGCCTGAATGTTGTGCTTGATCTTTTCCTTAAAATTAGATGCGTGACTAAGAATGATGGATAAACCTTGGTATCAGCAGTTTTCTAAAATAAGCAAAAACTAAAGTAGGTTGAGATGCAATAATGTGATTGTAATACTGGAAAAAATCAATTTTAAGCTTACAGAAAAGTTGAAACAGTTGTATGAAGAATCCCAATTTACTTTTCTCTCAAGTGTCTGAATGATTAGCACTTGTTTGTGTCCCGGAGCTTCCCCCACATATCCTGATAAAGGTCACCTTCTAAGGAAATACAAACTTATAACTTAATAAATGGCGTTGGAGTACCACAGCTGTTAAGAGCTGTAGCTCCGCTCACGCTTTGTAACACTAAATTCCATGGATCAAAGATCTAAATATATGAAGGGAGAGAAAACACAGAGAAAAAAGAGTGCTTATAATCTTTTCTTAAATTTATTATTATTCTTTAATCCCTTTTTACAGTCTAGACTTTGTACCCCTCCCCATCTGTCCCCTGGACTATTCCCTATACCATGCCTCCCCCCTACCATCTCCCCCCTACCTTACCAGGCCTCCCCACTCCCCTGGGCCTCAAGTCTCTCAAGAGTTAGGTGCATCTTCTCTCCCTGAGGCTAGACCAGGCAGTCCTCTGTTGTATATGCTTGCGGGCCTCCTATCAGCTGCTTTATGCTGCCTGTTTGGTGGCTCAGTGTCTGAAAGATCTCAAGTGTCCAGGTCAGTTGAGACTACTGGTCTTCCCATGAGGCCACCCTCCTCCTCAGCTTCTTCCAGCTTTTCCCAATTCAACCACAGGGGTCCCTGGCTTCCGTCCATTGGTTGGGTGCTAGTATCTGCATAGCATCTGACTCTTTCAGCTGCCTCTCAGAGGGCAGCCATGCTAGCCTCCTCTCTGCACACCACAGCATCATTAACAGTGTCAGGGCCCCAGGCCTCCCCTTGAGCTGGATGGCCACATGTAAATAAGATAACACACAGAAGCTATAAAACATAAAATAAAATATTTTAAAATGGAAACATTTGATTTCTGCATGGCAAGAAGAATGAGAATATAATATCAAAAATCGACAAAAGCAAAACTAATGGTCTGAGAATGCAGCTCAGTGGTAAAGCAGTAGCTTGGCAGAGACAGGCCCTTCTTGGGGAAACTCATTTAGCAGCTGCTATTGGAATCATCAGAACGTTAACGCCCTTGGGGTACACAAGAAGTAATGAGGAGTAAACAAATGATTGAAAGGTTTTTGTGGAAGAATTTCTTCTCCAGATGATTGACGTTTTTTCCTTTGATGTCACTATGTAAGTCCTTAAAAACTGTGTATAATAAGCACCTTCACCAAGGCAGCAAAGTTTCTCTGTTGTTTAGAAAAAGTAACTATTTCTGTCTCGTTATTCTCAATTAACACAGTCTGTTTCAAAACATGTTTTACAGGATAGGTTTTTTAAGCTGAAATTTTCTATACTGGAAAAGAAATATGATAAAACATTTTTCAAGTAAAAATATGTTTTTAAAGAGCATATTTGGCGAAAAACGAATAAATAATGGATGGTTTGGGCTTTAGAAATGTTGGTTTTGTGAATCACTCACACAAACTGTGGGATCTGTTTTCACAGAGTTTAGGAGTGGACACTCTTCCTCCTCCAGAGCCCAAGCCACCCCGAGAAGAGTTTAACTACAGTGTGGGGTTTAAGGATTTAAACGGTAAGCACAGAAACTTGTTTCTTAAGCAGTCTGAAGCCATAGCAATGACCCAGGTCTCCATGGGACTAGCCTCTGACCATGAAACCAAGGAAATGTGGACATCATGGGAAATAGTGTGTAAGTCCTGGATGGTACATTGTCCTTTACTGTGTCTACACTGAATTAATAAAGTCAATTAGATATTTTTACCTATAATGAAAGAGAAGATCAACTTTCATATATGAAAAGTCTCAGGATAACCTCACCTTTTGGTAAAGAAAGGAATGTTTCTTGTTACTAAGGAGTCAGTAAGGAATGTCTCTTCAAGGATAAAAATTAAATGTTGAATAACAATTGATCATATATGAATGGGAACTGATTCCAAATACATTTTATTCTAAATATGGTGTTTTAAATTATATACATGTACTTGTATATAATTTACTGTTTGAAACTTTCAATCCTCTGGAGATCAAAGCTTTAATTTATAGCAAGATCCTCTTCTCAATTTATTACAGAGAACCAACTGTTCAATTTGATGTCATTGAAATGACAATAAATCTTGAAATAGTCACTTCCACCTTAATAAGAAGTCACTGGAACTCTTGGTGTCAGACATTGAACCACAAGGTTGGCCTTGCTAGAAAAGAGTAGCCAAAGACTTTCAGTGACCCCAAATCACAACAACTAAAATTACAAAGAAGTTCAGTACAGAACCCAAGCCCTGGCTTCTGTTTCCATTTCTCACCCAGCTTCGCTGTTTCTGTCTTTTGCAACATTTTCATGATAAGCCCAAAGAAACCGGTGACTGTTGATTGGTCAGTTATAATGTACCTCTTTCTAGTAGTCTCTATTCTACACTCTTTTTCTACACTCTTCTATTCACCATTAAGCACACACACACACACACACTACTACTACTACTACTAGCTATGTTCACTGAGATAATAGCATCTATGAAGTTTCCAAAGAGTAGTCCACTTTGCGGGGATTTTGACAGCCCTGTCTAACAGACACTTGCCTCTAGTGGGTGTTTTCTAGTTTTATTTGTTTTGTTGACTTGGTCTCACAATGGAGTTCTGGCTGGCCTGGAACTTTCTATGTAGATTATGGTTGCCTTGAACTCTCGAGATTCACCTGCCTCTGCCTGTGGAAGTGCCACAAATGAGCACTTTATCATCAGTTCCACTAAAATTTAAGTTTAGAGCCGGGCGGTGGTGGCGCACGCCTTTAATCCCAGCACTTGGGAGGCAGAGACAGGCGGATTTCTGAGTTCGAGGCCAGCCTGGTCTACAGAGTGAGTTTCAGGACAGCCAGGGCTATACAGAGAAACCCTGTCTCGAAAAACAAACAAACAAAAAAAAAATTTAAGTTTAGTCGGTGTTCGTACTGCTGTAGTCAGCTCCAGGTTTTCTAAACACTTAATGGTTAGCATCAAAAAACTAGCAAAGATGATAGAGTCAAAGAAACCCATAAATCTCTGAAGTGCAGCCATGTTACGATGTGGTAACCAGGAGACTAGATGCCTGTGGATGGATGGCTTTGGGAGAGGACAGAGCTACCAAATTCCTAATGTGTATAGAAAGTTAAATTTGTTTAGAATATGTTTTTATTGCCCTCAGTTAAGTTATTGCTAACATTAGTTAAAAATAAGTTAAACAAGTTCATTAAAAATGAATTAAAAATTCAGAGAATGACAGACTTCAGAACGGAATCCATTTTTCATTCCCAATTCTTGAGTATGTAATTCTACGTTGATTAATAAAAATTAATCTCCATTAACACATTTAAGCTATAGCAATACATTTTGACCTCTTTGACAGATTAATAAGATATTAAAGAATAATGTAAAGTGAACTTTTTTTTTTTTTTGGTTTTTTCGAGACAGGGTTTCTCTGTGTAGCCCTGGCTGTCCTGGAACTCACTCTGTAGACCAGGCTATCCTCAAACTCTCGAACTCAGAAATCCGCCTGCCTCTGCCTCCCAGGTGCTGGGATTAAAGGCGTGTGCCACCACCGCCCGGCTAGTGAACTTTTCTTTAGACAGTAAGTTTCATTATAGGAATTTTATCACTAAAGTGCTTATAATTATATACAATATAGCTATAATAATTTAGAATAGTGTTTATTAAAAGATTTTTTATTAGCAATTGTGACTGATCATGTTAGAAAATTATGAACAAGTTTCAGTTTTTGGTCATATCTCTGAAAACATTTTAAAATAATAGTTTTATGAAAAAGTGGTTTACAAAAAAAAAAAAAACCCTGCTTCATGCATTTGATGGTCAAATGAGTGTGGTGCAAGAACTGATATTCTACTGTGCTGTGCTATATGGCACTGACAGTCCAGCAAGGAGCTGACTCACAATGCTTTCTGCTTTTCACTAGGCTCCATTTCTGACACTCCCACTTCCTCATTCTGGGTCATCCTGCACAGGAAGGGTCCATCCTTCTTCACTGCATCATCATGCGGTCAATGCCTGATTGCCAGCACAACTCTGCTGATGCCATCCACCAACACCACTCCCTCTGATCCTGGCAAGCTAGCCAACTTGCTGAGTATGCATGTGACCTTATCTCACACTTGGACGAGATCCAAAAGAACTCTCCTCCTTTCCCATCGCCCCATAAAGCTGAGTTCACTCTTTGTTATGAAAGCTCACTCAGTCCACTGCCTTCACAAAGTCTTTACTACCTAGTCTCCTTTTTATTTTCTCTTATACCTTTGCTGCATTAATCCTGCACTTGAGAATATAAGGTTTCCTGCAGTTTGGTGGAAGGCTTCCAGAAGTTTGCTCTCCACTCCCGAAAGGTGGGATGAAACCCAGCTGACCACCGGTGGGAGAGCTCCCATTCTTGCACCAAAATATTCAAGAGTCCCACATAGGTATCTGCTCAAGTGCTCTACTCTGACTGTAGCTGGAGACACTCTAGTGCAGAACACATTTCCCCCTTTTCTTCCTGTTAGGAACTTACACTAAGCACTGACTGTATTAATTCAGGAGTCCCGATAGGTAGATATGTGTCATTGCATAAAAATACTTTCAACCTTTCTTACTGTATCATAGAAATTTAAATAATGATTCCCGCCTATGTACATATTGCTCCTTTTTAAAAAAAGAATTGCTTTTAGGTTTTTCCAGGTACAAATAGTTGGTTTGTTTTTCAAACACTGATGCTATTTTTCCTCTTAGAGTCCTTAAATGCGCTAGAAGACCAAGATTTAGATGCCCTCATGGCAGATCTGGTAGCAGATATAAGTGAAGCCGAACAGAGAACCATCCAAGCTCAGAAAGCGTCCTCTCAGCATCAAGATCAGTCAGCACCTCCGGAGGCCTCAGCTGGCCGGGGTACAGCTCCACAAGCTTATGGAGCAGGTGCTGCTGCTGTTGTTGTCAGCCACTATGAGGAACCTTTACCGCCTCCACCAGCAGAACCCATGCTGGACCTCCCACCCCCTCCACCTCCTCCTCCTCCTGAACCTCTCTCTAAAGTAAGTCCATAGGACCCAAGATGGCCGAACCATTGCCATCTACTTACTACCCACCCATCACCCTGGACTTTCTTTGAAGTGACAATCACATCTGTAAGTTTGTATGCCTAGACCTCTGAGGTACTGAAAAAAGAAAAGAAATAGTGTGTGTTTATTACAAATCCCTGTTCCTAGCCCAGAATCTAGAAAATAACAAGTTTTGATTTGAGCTAAATTGAATCATTGCCTCTGGCAACCCTTTTCAATAGGGCAAAGACTATGTATCTTTAGAATAACTTCATTGGGGAGGGCAAAGACAGGTAATAAATGCTTGCTATTTATAAGTTGCTAAACTTTGTAAAATAACTACATTATCTTCATTTGGCATGTTAGTTACATGTCTTTCAAAAAAGAGTAAAAACACTTTGAGGACTTTTCCTTAAATGGGTCCCTTGAAAATATTTCCAATAGAGAGCCCAGCTCAGTCCTGTGGGTTCCTGTTGTGCTGGATGGTGGTGGTCAGTATCATTCAAATCATCGTAATGATGCCAGGAAATCCTGCAATTTCAAATGTAAATCACATGTTAAATCCACACTGTATCACACTCGTTGCCTCTGATTAAGACAGAGCAGAAGCTGCAAGCTTCAGGCCCCTCATGGTTTCAGGGGGATCATGAATTCCTTGAAAGTAAATACGAAGTTGAGTGTGCAGGAAGACACTTAAAAAATTCCTCACTTTCAAATGTTCCTAAAGCATCTTGGCACTCAAAATTATTTCAGAAACCAGTGGTATTTGAAGAGATAATTCTACTTTCAAACAGTGGAGATGTAGCCAGAACACTTTGTTTCCTTATCAGTATAAATAAACAATTCCATTCCTTATCATTATAAATAAACAAATAGACAGACAGATAGATAAGAGAGCCTTAATTGTCCTATTATCAGGATTTTACATTATAAAATCAAAGGCATTTGGGCGCATAAGAATATTTCACACTCTTCGCTACTGCTCGTGTGTGTTCATGAGTAGGGCATTTCATTTATTTTGTTTTGTTTGTTTATTTTGGTTTGCTTTGGAGGTTTGTGATTTATAACATTAAGTTTTGGCTTTCATACTAAAATGTAAGCTGTTAAGAACATTTTAAAGCTTCTAATAAAAGCTAGAAATCTTCCTCTGAATAGATACCATAATCCAAGAGGATGTGTGTAATCTTGGGAAGTGTTCAACTCCCTTAGGATGAAAGCCTTAATAGATTCTGTAGGTTGCTGTCTGTATTTGTTACTTTTCTGTTGCTGTGATAAATAAAATACTATAACCAAAGCAACCTAAGAGTTTCTTTTAGCTTACAGTTCTATAGAGAAAGCCCATCATGTTGGGGGAGACCCAGCATCAGGCTGTCAGAGCGGGAAGCTAACTGATCACATTCTAGTCACAGGATAGAAGCAGAAAGCCAACTGGTAGTGGGACAAGGCCATAAACTCTCAAAGCCCACTTCCACTGATATACTTCCTCCAGCAAGGTTCCACATCCCAAAGTTCCCATGACTTCCCCAGACAGCACCACCAGCTAGGGACAAGTTCAAGGACATTAGCTTATGAGAGAGATTGCTTCCTTCACACTAACGCAGCCCCTGCGCTGTGAGCTGAGCACAGAATAGCATGCTCTAAAAGTATATGACACTGTTGGTGAAGTCATAGTTTCATCTTCTCGGATGAAATCCTCAAGGCTATAAACAACAGTTGCTCTCTGTATATCTGAGTGGAATATTTTATTCAGAAGCATTACTTACATTCTGAAAATGGAGGATGTGAAATTTGGTAATTTTGTTACTCTAAATGAACTAGACCCTAGCACTAACTCACTGATGTGATTTATTGGACTCTGTTGACTGTCTTGGCCCTTTACAGGAAGAAGAAGAAGCCCAGGCAAAGGCTGATAAGATTAAGTTAGCACTGGAAAAGCTGAAGGAAGCCAAGGTTAAGAAGGTAAGCTATCAAACACATTTGCATAGGGGAGTTAAATTAGTGATGTCATTTTATAGTTACTGGTAAACAGTAATAAAATGTTCACGTGCCTCCAGGAATACAGGTCAGTAGTGGGTTATCTGCTAGCACAAGACCGCAGCTTTAACAGCGTCATTGAAAGAAAACTCAAGTAGCACTTTCCAAATAATAATTTTTAAAGAATTCTCTGAACAAAGTGAAATGATACCATTTTCTTCTACATAACATCATTTTGCTAGTTTGCGATTTCTAGGTAGGGAACCTGCCTCCATCTGTTTCTTGCCAGGGCTTTCTGCTGCTCAAGGGCAAAGAGAACATGAGTGTCCAAAAGGGAAGGCATTTGCTTAGCTCGCACGTGACATTTTGTTGATTTACACATAATTTTCCCGTGAACCAGGAGAGTGGAAGTCGGAATTCTCATTAACAAGAAAGAAGGGGTCTTTGATTTTGCTACCACCTCGGCAAGGGCCTTCTCAGTTCCATTTTGAGAATTTAAAATATGTCCATCCTGGACTCCGTTCCCTGAGGGATGCTCTCTGGGGTCTTCCACAGCTGTCTGTTTATAGCAGGTGGTACACCCTCAGGGCATGCTTTAATTGGGTCAGCCCTCAGCATCCCTTGGCCTCACAGTTTCTTTTGTGAACTTTATACCCCTTGGGCTGCCTCTAGAAAGTTCATCTGGTTGTCTCCCATGAATCAAACGTTGGTTTTGTTGTTTATCTAGTCTTTAATTTGTGTAAAATTTGAGTGACCCGTTCCTAACACTACTTTACCAGTTAGACTACAAGTTTCTTGAACATTTTTGTAGAGCATAGGGTGTTTTAGGAACACATGTATTGTAGTAGAAAACCCTGTATCTAACCTGATTAGAAAACTATACCTACTATTAAGATGTTAGTTAATTTGTTTAGGTAATGAGACAAGTATTCGGTCTGCATCTTATTTCAATTGAAGCATCTGTCATCTCTCACTAACTAAGGTGAATTATCTTTGTCACGTCAATTCTTGAATGAAGGAGTTGTATACGTGGTGAATAATTGAATATCCCTTGGCTATCCTCACACCCGGACTTTCAAGGCTTGGATGTGAAGATGTTTTCCAGATAGAGCTGGTTCCATTCGTTGCAAATGTCAATCGACTTCTTGTTCTCTGCATGTATATTAGCTCTTCCTCTCTGTGACAAGCAGCTCAGATTATGACCTGGATTAGTTACTTTCCTCATCGCTGTGACAAATGCCCAGCAGTAGCAGTCCTAGAGGAAGGGTTGACTTTGGCTCTCTGATTGAGGTTGTAGTCCATGATATCAGGGAAGGCATGGAAGCCAGACAATCAGAGCAGGAGCGTAAGGTCGGTGTTCACACGGCGTCTGCTGTCTGTAAGCAGAGAGAGAGAGAGAGAGAGAGAGAGAGAGAGAGAGAGAGAGAGAGAGGAATGCTCAAATGTGTGAGCTGATCTCACAACTGTACCTACATGTATCGCGCACCACTCAGGTTGTGAGGGAAGAACTGGCATGCTGTTGTCTGAGATTGCCCTTCCACAGCAATCTCAGTTTGCTTCTCTGCTCTTGTCTCCACAGTCTAAGAGCCCCAGGGCCTGCCCATCTTGTTCAGTGAAGCCAGATCCCGCACAGTGCCCTCCTTCCTGTCTCTGTGTGATCTGGCTCCCATTTTCTCCCTAGCCTCAGTTCTCTCCATTCGTTCCCTCCTTTCCTCCATCCTTCCCTTCCTCCCTCCCTCCTTCCTTTCCCATTCCTCCCCTACATTTACCTCACTGTAACTACTTGTCCTTGTAACTACCCTTCAAACACTCCGCAAATCCTTGTCGTGGCACCTTTGTACCTACCTGTCCCTTCCACTGTTACCCAGATTCTCACTGGATTTTTCCCTTGTGTATTCACTCACCTTCTAAGTGAGTGTCCCCATCACTGTACAACACTACTCCCTAAAATTCTCCTCAGTGATTTATCACCACCCAATGCACTACCCACTAATTCATTGCCTATATTCCCTCTGCGCCTCCTTGGAAACCATCTGGAGACTTTATTCTCTTTAACAATGCACCCCGACCCTTTAGAGGAGTTACCAGGTGTCTACAGTGGTAAACAAGTCCAGTGAGATTGTTACTCATATGGAGCTAAATTCCAGCAAGGGAGGCAAATGCAGTAAAGAAAATTAAACCAGACTCAGTACGGTGTCCCATACCTCTTATCCCAGCACTCAAGATCCAGAGGCGGGAGGATTGCAAATTCAAAGCTACCCTGGACTACAACACTAATGTCAGACCCAGCTAGGACTGCTCAGCAAAACCTTCTATTATTATTATCATCATCATCATCATCGTCATCATCACCATCATCACCTTCCTCCTCCTACTCCTACTCCTCCTCTTCCTCCTCCTCCTTCCTCTTCCTCTTCCTCTTCTTTCTTCTTCTTCTTCTTCTTCTTCTTCTTCTCCTTCTCCTTCTCCTTCTCCTTCTCCTTCTCCTTCTCCTTCTCCTTCTCCTTCTTCTTCTTCTTCTTTTTCTTCTTCTTCTAGTCCAGAAGTATGAGCCAGAAAAGAAAAAAAAATGGAAACCATAAGAATTGCTAGGTAGCCTCCCTGGGAAGGTAGCTCTTCAGCAAAGTCCTCAGCAGCAGGAAGACACTAGGTTCACAGTGCAGTGGTAGAGGGGATCCCCAAACAGAGATGAGTGTTGATGAGACAAGGCACACCTTAGGCTCAAGTAACCCTTCACTTGACGAGATGGAACAGAATGAAAGCCTGTTGGCCACAGTTCAGTGAGCCGCTGAGTAAAGGCAGAGGGAGGCGCTGTGTTAGTGCAGCAGTGGGAGCTTCGAGGGCTCATAGGTTGCAGTGAGTCTGCTCTGCATCTTACCTACAAGAGGCCTTTGGGGACCTCTAAATGGGGAGATGGGACACTAATGAAGGAGTTTTAAAATCCATGCTGGCAGATTCACCAAAAATGAATTGTAGGGATGCTCAGGTGGTCTGTGGCAGTGTTTGCTGATCTGAACAGGGTGTCCTGTTCCTTCTTTAGTGTCCCATGAGTGTCACCCACACATAGGGACCGTGTGCTGGGTCAGAGAGGTCTAAGTTCCTCATAAATAAGGACTGTTGCTCTATCAGCAGTATACAAGTGGCTATGCTCCCAAGATAGACCTGCCATACAAGCTCCCAAGGAAAATAAATTATAGTACTAGAGAATGGCAATGGGAGACTTGTTCTAGATTGTTCTAGCCCAGATGAGCATGCATTGCTTGAGCTACAAATGAGCCACAGGTGTGGATATGTATGGAATGGCTTCGCCCATGGATGCAGATATAAGAGAATAAATGCAGAGAGGCTGCAGCAGGAGGATCTCAAGTTCAAGAGAAGCCTGATCACACCAGGAGGCCCTGGCCCATAAAACCCCAAGGACTTGGGATGCCCTCAGTGGTCAGATGTTTTTCTAGCATGTGCAAGGGCCTGGACTTGATCCTTATCACCTCAAGAGAGGGAGGAAAGGATGGAGAGAGAGCGAGTAAGTTCAAAAGAATCATAATTACACACTTTGAAACCAATAGGCAGTTTATAACTGATGGCCACATTGTGAGATTTTAGAAAAGAAATGAAGAGATGTGTCTCGTACAGGAGACGGTGGGACAAGGAGCAGACACAGTGGGCTTGCTCCTCCCTGCCACCCACCAGAAACAAAGAAGCTTTGCTCCTTTTAGTTACAGTGACTCACAGCAGTAAACAAGAGGCTCCATCTGCCCCATCCATGGAAGATCCAGAACAGAGCACTCGTCAGTGGGGAAGGGAGGAGGGCTCCTGACTCTCTGACTTTATTTTTTAAGACATGTGTGTGACACAGCACGTTAAGCAAATAATAGAAATGCTCCCCATTTAAGAAAAATAACTTCAAGTGTTTTTAAATAATGAAAGTCAGTAAGAGGGCTGGAGAGATGGCTCAGTGGTTAAGAGCACTGACTGCACTTCCAGAGGTCCTGAGTTCAAATCCCAACAACCACATGGTGGCTCACAACCATCTGTAATGAGATCTCATGCCCTCTTCTGGTGTGTCTGAAGACAGCTACAGTGTACTCATATATAATAAATAAATAAATTTAAAAAAAAGAAGAAGAAGAAAGTCAGTAAGACCAAGAAGGCTGAGGAGGAAGATCACTCTTAACCCAAACTTAAACCCAAGTTTAAGAGCAACCTGAATTACACTGAGAGACCTTGTCTCATGAACACAAGGGTTCACCCCCCCCACCCCCATTAGAAGTATTTGCTCTTAAGGATTTGGTGGGATTCTGACATTATTTTAAATTATAAATGATGTACATATCTTATGGCACCAAGCTTTTGAAGCTGGAATCACAATCTGACTAACTTGTTAATTTATTCTAAAGCTCCATGGCAGAAGAACAATTCTATTTGTAAATTTCATTATAGAAGTCCAAAAATGTAATTTGCATGATTTAGGGCTAAAATACTTCCCATTTAACCACTTGCAAGTAAAAATGAGATTTCATTACCAAGGCATTTGGCCCCATGGAATATCACGTGATGAACTACATAGCATGGTGGTGATGTGGTACTGCTACATGTTGGTACAGAACCCTTCTGCAGCTTGCCAAGGTAGTAGAAACTGTGAAGAACCACAAACGTAATTTCTTCCTATTCATTCACTTACTTTCTAAACTCTACAATTGTGGATATTTATAAATACACATGGATTAAACTTAGTTTGCTGTTTGTGCCAAAAAGAAGCCTCTTCCATCATTGTGGAACTACGTGGTTTAGCAATGTCTCCCTCTGTATAAAAACGAAAGGAAAAAGCAACATACATTTTCCTTCCTAAAGCACTGCTAAGAAAGAGTGAAATGTGGTCAAATGTCATGATTTTTCTCTATCATAAATACTGCTTTCGAAGCCCTAACATCAGTGGTGTTTCCGGGAATGTAATTATTCCATCACTGTAATTCTCAGAAAAGAACAGCATGTATGCCTTCCACAGAAAAATACAAAAAAGACCCAACTCTAGTCAAGCTAAAGAGGCTGTAATCATCATGACAGACCAGGGGCACTCTAAAGTGACACTTGTCCCCTCCCTATACCATCAGACTATTGAAATAATGAACATTAAAGATTTAAAATTTCACCAGTAACCCCACGCAGAAGAAAGGCTTAAACTCGGACACCAGCCTGTTCTACTTTCCTTCTGGTGATGTGATTTTAAAACTCTGACCAAAAGCAACTTGGGAGGGAAAGGGTTTATTTGCCTTTCACTTCCAGATCAGGAAAGATCTCTGAGAGAAGTCAGGTTAGAACTGGAGGCAGGAACCTGGAGGTGGGAACTATGGAAGGAATACTGCTTGCTAGCTCACTCATTGGCCAACCCACAGATGTATTCATGTTTAGTTAGCATTTTTACAGTCCAGTACTATCTCCCTAAAGAATGATGCTGCCCACCATAGGCTGGGCCAACCTGTATCAATTAACAATCAAGACAATCCCTTACAGGTACGTCACTTACCGACCTGAGAAAGACAATTACTCAATTAAGATTCTCTTTTCAGGTAATTCTAGGCTGTCTCAAGTTGCCAGTAAATGGATACAATCAGAGGAAGAACCTTCCTCAGGAAGAGACTTTTTACAGTTAGGACACTTATGAGACTACCTTGTAGACTGGACAGGAGTCAAAGCAATAACAGCTCAATGATGGACAAGGGCTCACCTTACTCAGGACTGTTTCATTATGCAAATCTCTTGCCTACTCTTTAAGCCTCTTGCCAACACCCTAAACAATGACTGAGGGCCTCTGTACCCCTTTATTTCTTTTTCTTCCCAGTGTAGCCTTACTTAATAAGTCTCTTTTTTTCTGCTTTTCACTTTAACTATTCTCTTTAATTGGCACACTGGGGACAATGGCAAAGCTTAGCTTATCAAGGTCGCCATACCCTAAAATTCCCCTTAACAATGGGACTTTGGTCATAAAGATACAAGGAGATCTTTTAATGAGAAATGCTGCCAGCCCTAAAAACAAAAAAAGAACAAAAATGGGAAGGATGTTGGGAAAATGAGAAGTGAATGCTTCTTCAGTTCTCTTTGCTTTCTGTCTCCTCACCAGAAATCAGCCCCTTGAAACTGGGCCAAGGGCTTTGTTTATTGTCTGGTTTGTGTTTTGTGAATTTATTTCTCCTCCTGTGCTTTTCTGATATATAAAGAGTTCACAATGAGGTCGGAGGATGCATTCCACTTTTTAACTATATTTCTATTTGGCCTTTGAGAGTTTCAAGGCATGTATACAATGTATATTAACCCTCTATTATCCCATCTTCATCCCTTCCAAGATTCCCTACCATATCCCAGCCCAACTTCATGTCCTCTTTTTTCAACTCACTGAATCCACTCAGTGCTGCCAATATGAACCTATACAACCTACCCATATCCCTGAAGAAACTGACTCTTCCCCCTCCTGAGTGTCATCAACCGATAATAGCTTCTTAGGTAAGAGTAGGACTTCATGAATTCTTGTCCCATGTTAGAACTTTGTCCTGATCCTGAACACGTTTTCTGCAATCAACTGCAGCTGTTGGGAGTACAGCAATCCTGCCATGTCCAGAAGATGCTCCTTTACAGCAGTATCCATCAACACTTGGCTCTCACACACTTTTCCCCGCTGTTCCTCGAGCCTTACAGGGATGGGTGTTATATAGATCTCTGTATATATTGTATGTGTACATGTACTACACACACACACACACATATGTACTGCTAAGCACTCAGAGTCACTTATCCAATATACTTTGCCCAATTGAGTCATAACCCACTGAGAAGAGTCAAGAGTTGCATTAATCCATGGATAAAAAGATACATATTTAGAAGGCAGTTTAATGTTACATCCATTTAGTAAAATAATAGAAGTAGGTTTTCCTCTGGGTCCATGATCCCTTTAGCCTTGGGTTCTTGGTCCAGTTCACAGTACAAGGCATGGATTCTGTCCTGTGGAGCAGACTTTAAATCCAATCATAAAGTGTTTGGTTACCACCCATAACAATCATGCCACTACTGCTGGTGGAGGAAAGTCAACACTCTTACCCAACTGTGAACCTTGTGTGCTACAGTAACAACAGCCTATCAAAATACTATGGGATACATTCCTAATGTACAGTGGTAGAAACAAGAGCAGTGCTGACACCTTAAGCTTAGCAGACTGCCCCAGTTGCTGAAACTAACTGCCTGTTATGTGGCTTCTTCTTCAGCTTGTAGTTAAGGTGCACATGGATGATAACAGTACCAAGTCACTGATGGTGGATGAGCGACAGTTGGCTCGGGATGTTCTGGACAATCTTTTTGAAAAAACCCACTGTGACTGCAATGTGGACTGGTGCCTTTATGAAATATATCCCGAATTACAAATTGGTAAGTCTCCTTCTCAGATCTGGGTTGCACTTCAAAAGCCTGTTTTATTATGGGTTTTAGTCTGTTTTAACCATTTGTTTCAGTATCTCAAGACATGGCATGTGTCTCTGCCCTCATCTGAAATAAATCCTTGTTTCTTTGTGGCAGACATTCCGGTGGTGGAGGGTAGTCAGGCTTTGGCTGATATGAACTTCATTACTGTCACCTTGATAGTGACCCCAAAAGGGAAAGAAATGAGCAATGTGGTTCCTCCTGCTCCAGGCTTAGGAAGCTCATCACCTTGCGGGAGATCCTGGGTATCTGTCAGCTACTATTCCTTTAAAGATTGCTTCCCTGAAGCGCAATGTGAGTGCCAGACCTTACATCTACAATCGTTTCTCCTTCTCCTGTCCAAACTTGACTGATCACCAACAATTTCTCCACCCTGGGGAGCAAAGGTGAAATAAATTGATTGCTTTTTTCCTTCTTTCCTTCCTTCCTTTCTTTCTTTTTTCCTTCCTTTCTTTCTTTCTTTCTTTCTTCCTTCCTTCCTTTCTTTCTTTCTTTCTTTAATAAATTCTCTGCTCCTTCCCACTCATGCTCAGGACAAGCTGTCTCCCAAGAAGACTGTGTAAAACTCACAATTACTTGCTTTTGAGGCTTTAGGGCAATTTTTTCTATAGAAAATGGTCCACATTAAAACTGTTCCTTTACCAGGCATGGTGACACATGCTAGTAATCCCACCCCTGGAGAGGCTGAGACAGGAGGAAAATGAGTCCCAGACCAATCCAGTCTATGTAGGGATATTCTATCTCAAAACTAACACAAAACAAAGAGACAACAGAACAAACAAAGGCTTGATGTCTCCTCCAACTCTGAGTGGGAAAACAGGGAAGGAGCAGCTTCCTTTACTATCCAGCTTGATTCAGATTTCACCTATTGTCCTTAGAGTCTTGGAGCAATAGCTTAGGAGTTTCATAGTCTGCGTTCTCTTTGGTCTTCCCATAGTATTTACCTCTGCTAAGAATGTTTTCAAAGGAAAAACAAATGCTAACAATTAAAAAACAGGATAACTCACTATGGTCCAAAATCATGTTTTTATGTGAAATAAATTGAACACCTGACAGTGACATATAAAAATAGCAGGAATGTTGGACTATTGCTACAGGCAGGGTGTTAGTTCACAGCACTCGCACTGAAGGTCCCCAGTTCTCCTGCCTCTGTGCAGCAGACCATACAGAGACATGTGGCTAGTTCAGGAAAGGAAATAGTTGATTGGGGACAAGATACACAGGGGGCTGGAGCTGTGCTGTGCAAGAAGGAAGAGTAGGGACTGAGGAGGGCCCCAGCAACCTTTTATGAGTCATTAACATAGTACCCACCCCCATCTACTTCAGATACCTACCTTTGTTCAGAGCATATGCCTTTGGCTGAATAGATTCAAACCCAGGTAAGTAAAGGCTGCCAGTCTTTAGAACTCTTGGGAAGAATTGTGCTTCACTCAGTAATAGACTGTCATCTGAAATATCTTTTGTTTCATCAGAGAGAATTTTTGAAGACCATGAAAATGTTGTTGAAGTGTTATCAGACTGGACAAGAGATACAGAGAACAGAGTACTGTTTTTGGAGAAAGAGGAAAAATACGCTGTGTTTAAAAACCCTCAGGTAAGACGGCCTGAGTTCCCTTAAACTGTGTAACAAGGGAGGAAGTTTCTGTCACCTGGTACTGACCAAGCCATAATCTCAGGAAATCTCACAAATGTGTAAGATTTAAATAAATTAGAAATACTTCAAAAGATTTAAAAAATAAAACTCCTTTTCTCTCTATTTTTTTTTCATTCAAAATTCAAAACATATCTATTTGTTGTCTAACCCTTGTCTTGGGTCTGAATTTTTATTAGGTTCCATTACCCCAATGTGCCTTGATACACTACAGATTATTAATTTTTTCTATTGCCAAGTCAGGTTTTTTAGTTCATGTTTGCTGCTTATTGATACTGTGATAGCTAAAGTGGGCGGTACAGGGAGGTATGAGGTTCATAACCAGCCACCATAGTTTTTTAAAAGTAATGAAGAAGAGAAAAAGATTTATTTACAGTTTGGGCCAGAGTTTGTGAAAGAAAAATGCTTAGTTTCTCTTTACCTTTTCTATGGTGGAGCTATATTTTATGGAAAAGGTCATAAAGGTCAGGAAATATACATGGATAGATTTAGTCTGAATGCTGTGAACTCTGTTCCTTGGAGACACTTAGCTGCTCTGCTGATGCAGCTACAGCCCTTCCTTCTCTCTGCATGGGGGGCTTACATAAACCACCCCATGCATCCTGTCTTTCACAGAGTCTCAACCACATTGCTTCAGAAGCACCTGGAGAATATAAAATTTATTGTGATTTCCTTAGGCAATTGACACAAACACAAAAGCACTGTTCTTATATTTGAAAATGTATCCCTCAAGTCATATATCAGGATGCCACCGAAAAATCTAAGCCTTTCTAGGAACAGCCTCAAGCAACTGGAATCACATAAGAGACACCACATAACCAGAATACTTGTCTGTGCTGCCTGTCACCACAAACATGGTGATTGGAGAAAAGGACTGAAACTTAGTTTACACTGAGTTACTCAGAGAACCAGCAGTCTGGAAAGATAGACAGCCAACACCCCCAAAATGTCTGCCTTCTCCACTCCATCTAGTATACTTTGTAGGGAACTCTAAAAAGGCAGTTAAATATTCCAAAGTGTAGCCCTGTCTCTCTAGCCAGAGGATACTGACTCTCATTCAGCATATTGGGCTTCTCTGTACCCTTTCTTTGCTACCTCGCTGCCCTGTGGAGCAGACTTTATCACCACACGAGGCTATTTAGTCTCCTGTTCCTCCCAGGCAAATCTAGACCAAAAGCTGACTCAGCAGTGTGTATACGCTGAGCTCAAGTTTACAATGTCAGGTACCCATGTGTCTTTATATAAAGGGTCCCTATCTGTTCCTCCTGTCCCAATTACAGTTTTTTTTTTCAATTCTAAGAATGTTACCGATGGAAGAGATCTCCAAAGTCATCCAGACGTCTTTCCATTTTTCAGAAGAGGAGACTGAATCTTGAATCAATAGGAGCAGAATTAGAAGAGTCTGAGACAGGCTACTTATGGGAAAAGGGCCTTTCCTTTGTGTTAGTTTTTTCATTGTCGTGGACAAATACCTGACTGAAACCACTTACGTGAGGAAGGGCTTATTTGGCTCACAGTCGCAGAGGTTTCCATCCATTGTGGTAAGGAGGGTATGATGGAGCCTTCATGATTGGTGGACAGGAAGCAGAATAGGGAAGTAACAGGAAAAAGCTAATCCAAGAGAGATCCCCAAAGATGTAGCCTTAGCCTTAGAGACCTCCTTCCTCCAGCACACACACACACGCACACACACACACATACACACACATACATACATACATACACACACACACATACACACACACACATACACACATACACACACATACACACACACACATACACACACACACATACACACACTCTCACACACACATACACACACTCACACATACACACACACACATACACACACATACACACACATACACACACACATACACTCACACATACACACACACACACATACACACACACACACACACATACACACACACACACACACACTTCTACCCCTTCCCAACAGTCTATTCAGAGTGAGAATCTATCAGAGGATTAATCTATTTATTAGGACATCGTCCTTATTCTGTTTAATTCCTGTACCAATACAGGCGCCATATCAAGGGATGTAACAAAGAATGCCTCTAATTCCATGTGTCAAACAAACCACAATCTTAATTCTCATATACTGACCCAGAAAAAGTAAATAGATTTAATAGGATGTCTCTGCCGTCCTCAACATTTGGCTTCTCTCTCCAAGTCCACGGTGGCATTTTCTAACAGCTTGTCCAAGGTAGCCTTTTCCTAGATGCTCATCTAATCTGTTTGAAAAGAGCTAAGAGGCAGGGGAATGCTCCTTTCTCTTTGACCCCCATTAGCCATAAATGAGCTATGGTGACACTGATCTACAAAGAGACTGAGGGTGTGATACGTATATAACAACCATGTGTACAATATTCAGGGCCACCATTTTGCAAAACTCCTTCTCAGAACACCTTTTATATTGACTCCATGAAAACACTGTGCAGGGGTTGTGCAGCATGTCCATTGTTAAGAGGAGGAAGGCGGCATACAGGTATGCTGTGCTGAAACACTAGCATACCAATCATACTGTCAGACCCTAGCAGTCCAGTTGATGGACATTGCAAAGTGAATACTTACCTTCAACTCATGCCTTTGAGATGCATAAATGGGCTGTGTCTTTCCCAGTCTTTACTTCCCACTGTAGTGGCAATCTTTAGTCAAATCTTTACTGCCTTCATTTTCCCTTACTTTAGACTCTGTGTGAAATGGCACCACGTTATAGTTCACATTTATGTTTAAATTTTATTCTCACTTGACTTTCATTCACATAGCCACCTATAGCATCAATTTCCCCTTCTCCCTGCCATTAGACGACTAAAGAAAAATATATGTATCCACTGCGTTGCTGGCAGACATGTGGTTTGTTTCTAGCTTGGCAGTTAAGTAGTAATGATGATAGGAATATCTCATGTATGTTTTCAGCTGAACAAATGTAAATAAACATTCTCTTGTATGTATATCTGTGAATGAAATTACTGGGACACAGATTATATTTTTATTTAACTATGGCAAATCCTGATGAAGAATTTTCTAACTATTCTTTAGGTTGTCTCTCCCTTTATGATTGTATGAAAATCTCTAGTGTTCTAGATTCTAAGCAGCCATTGGTGTTGTTTTTTCTATTTTTTGTTTTTTCAAAGTCACCAGTGAGGCATGGGTGTCACATTAAGGAAAAAGATCAAAGTGCTTCACTTCAGTGTCATTTAAGCAAGGGCGAGGCCGGATCTGAAGTCTCTACTTCATGCTCCCTGTCTTCCATCTTCTGTTTGTATGTTGTATGGGTCTGAGCCATGCTTACCTTAAGGCTGATTTGTGAATCTGTCCTATGCATGTATCTGCGTCTGTCCCTGGATCTTTGTGTGCCTGTCTCTGGTGTGTCTATCAAAGGAATTTGCTCTGTCTTTATTGAACAGCACAGAAAGCATCACATGGGGAAAGGATAATGGGTACTAGCAGACATTTTAAACAGAGGTTTACAAGAGATAAAGTCACTTATTCCAACCAACTCAGTTAACAGACATCACTGTTTACTGATCAATATCAAATGTTGCATGTTGTATTCCACATTTCCAATAACTAGTCATGTTATAACGTTGCTTTAAATCTCTAGTTTTACTGTTTTCAGCAGATAATGCATGGCATTACTCAAGGGTCTAGGGCATAGAAGACAGGAAATAACTTAAGATTGTAGTTATTTTTATAATCTTGAGTTATTTTTTTAAAACTGTCTATAGCCAGGAAGCAGAGAAAGATGAAAACTTGGCACTTCATTCATTTTCTATCTGAATCTAGTTTTAAATGAAGATTAATCATAATAGAATACAGGTGACATGGAAACAGAGGGAAAGATTACTTGTAGGGAGGAAAGAGACAAGATAGGGACAGTGGGATGGGACAATGGGGCAGGGCAGTGGGCGGGGCAGAGGGCTGGGGGCTGGGCAGTGGGGCAGGGCAGAGGGCTGGGCCCTCCCACATCAGTCATTATCCGGAAAATGCCCTCCAGACTTGCTTACAGGCAATCTGATGGAGACATTTTCTCAACTGAGGATCCTCCTCCCAGATAACCCTAGCTTGTGTCAACCTGACAAAAAAACTAACCAGGACAGGTGTTAACTACTTCTTACAGATGAAAACCGTTGAGAAAACACATTCCAGTTAATAAATGGATGTGAATAGAAAGACACCATTCAGGTCTTTGAACTCCTTCCAAGTTGTCAGCTAAAAGTCACCGAAGGTTCAGCTATGGTTCTTTTCATCCACTGACTGACAAGATAATTAAGTTTGTTCCATTGTGAAGGAAGCGAAGCAGTAGAAATCACTTGACTTTTCAAGGGGGATTGTTACTGGTCTTCCACTTTTTTCATGCCAGTGTTTCAAGTGATTCCTTTGTTTGTGCCTTTGAGCTTTACAAACCCAGAAAAGTAAGGTTTTTGTAGATGTGCAGGGTGCCTACTCTTTTAAGGGGAGGAAAAGCAATTGTGGAAGAAGCTGTACATTATCTAGCACATCAGATTTAGAAATAGAGGTGAACGATGTAGAAATCGATGTGGGTATATCCTTGAAAAGGCTTCTCAGATGTATCAAAACCTTAGATGTGCTTACTAATAGTGGCTCAGCCTTCCCCACTGTTAATTGTCCTTAGCTTTAGAAAGCTATTGTGTCTGTTATGAGACACTAGTGTTCACCATTAGCATCTTCAACAGGCAGTTCCATGAAAGTGGGTGCTACTAAAATCCCTGTCTTGCAAAGAAGGAACTTAGCAAGTAATAACCAGTGAAGTGTTGAAGATAAAATTATAACAAATCTGGTTTCACAGATCTTCACAGATCTTCACAGATTTTCAATTCAGACCAGTCTAGACCAAAAATTATTTGTAGTGCTCCACTAGCATCATCTCCTATGTGGCAGGTAGTATCCAAGTTGGAGTCAAGAAGATGGTATATAAGAAACAAGAGCCTCCACATAAAACCAGATACACTGAAACTAATAGAAGAGAAGGTGGGGAAAAGCCTCGAATACTTGGGCACAGGGGAAAAGTTCCTGAACAGAACTCCAATGGCATATGCTCTAAGATCGAAAATTGACAAATGGGACTTCATAAAATTGCAAAGTTTCTGTATGGCAAAGGACACTGTCAATAGGACAAAACGACAACCAACAAATTGGGAAAAGATCTTTACCAATCCTTCATCTGATAGAGGGCTAATATCCAATATATACAAAGAACTCAAGAAATTAGACTCCAGACAACCAAATTACCCTATTAAAAAATGGGGTATAGAGCTTAACAAAGAATTTTCAACGGAAGAAACTCGAATGGCCGAGAAGCATCTAAAGAAATGTTCAGCATCCTTAGTCGTCAGGGAAATGCAAATCAAAACAACCCTGAGATTCCATCTCACACCAGTCAGAATGGCTAAGATTAAAAATTCAGGTGATAGTAGATGCTGGCGAGGGTGTGGAGAAAGAGGAACACTCCTCCATTGTTGGTGGGACTGCAAGATGGTGCAACCACTTTGGAAATCAGTCTGGAGGTTCCTCAGAAAATTGGACATAGCATTACCCGAGGATCCAGCTATACCACTCCTAGGCATATACCCAGAAGATGCTCGAACATATAACAAGGATATATGCTCAACTATGTTCATAGCAGCCTTATTTATAAGAGCCAGGAGCTGGAAAGAACCCAGATGTCCTTCAACTGAGGAATGGATTCAAAAAATGTGGTATATTTACACAATGGAGTATTACTCAGCTATTAAAAACAATGAATTCGAGAGATTCCTTGGTAAATGGATGGAACTAGAAATTATCATCCTGAGTGAAGTAAGCCAATCACAAAAGAAGACACATGGTATTCACTCACTGATTATTGGATATTAGCCTAGAACCTTGAAATGCCCAAGATGCAACTCACAGGCCACATGAAGCCCATAAAGAAGGAAGACCAAGTGAGGGTGATTCGGTCCTTCTTAGAAGGAGCAACAAAATACTCAAGGGAGCAAATATGGAGACAAAGTGAGGGACAGAAACTGAAGGAGGGGCCGTCTCAAGACCACCCCACCTGAGTATCTATCCCATGTGCAATCACCAAAGGTAGATGCTGATGTGGAAGACAGGAAGTGCATGCTGATAAGAGCCTGATATGGATATCTCCTCAGAGGCCCTCAAGAGTCAGACATATTCAGAGGCAGATGCTCACAACTAGCCATTGAAGTGATCATGGGGTTCTCAATAGAGGAGTTAGAGTGAAGACTGAAGGAGCTGAAAGGGTTTGTGGCACCATGAGGAGAGCAACAATACCAACCAACCACAGCTCCCAGGGTCTAAACCACCAGCCTGGGAGCACTTAGGGGGGGATCCAGGGCTTCAGCTGAATATGTAAAAGTGGAGGGCCCTGCTGGGCATAGGTGGAAGAAGAGAACCTTGACCTCATGAAGGCTGGATGCCCCAGGGGGTGGGAATTTTGAGGGTGGGGAGGTGGGAGTGGGGGGGTGTAGATAGAGGTTACATCCACAGAGAAGAAGAAGGAGGGGCGAGGGGATTGGGGGTTCCGAGGGGGTGGTGGGGGATGGGGTAAGGGGACAACATAGGAAATGTAAATAAATCATCCAATAAAAAAAAAAAAGAAAAAAAAAAAAGAAACAAGAGCATGAGCACAGCTCGATTGGTGTGCTCTTTTAACATGGTTTAACTCGTTGGCTACTTCCAGGTATCAGAGATAAATCTTGCTCTCTTCTGACAATGACAATAATTTTACCAGTGTCTAAACCAAATAATCTCTAGTAAGTCTTGGGGTGACATTCCTTAACTTTGTGAAATGTTGATGTTTACTGCTTACCCTAATAACATGTTTTAAAATGGAAGGCAATGATAGTATTCAGTAAACCGGAATTACTATTTTTGAAAAAGATTATACTGACTTCACTACAAGCCAGTTTTACTTAAATCAGGGTTGTCCAACAAGAATGTTCTGTTAGCCATTTATGATGGGAGTCCTGGTGTATGAATTAGATTATTGTACACTAGCCTCAGCCAGCAAGCACTTCTTCAGCGATAGATTATGGGTAGGAGGATCCAGGGGTTCAGAAGATAAAGAAAGATAGGAAGGTTGGGGTCAGGAGGTCTTGCACAAGCTATGCTTCATACCAACCAAGTTTATTAAGAAGTACAGCAATTTATCTACAATTTGTGAGGGGGAAAATAGGACAGAGTCAGTGGGAAGTTATCATACGATGGGACAAAGACTAATGAAGCAATGAGTGTTGCACAAAAGGCACAGAAGATGCACTTGGGGTCAAGCACATCACAGAACGACCTCATGGTGGCCTCGAAACTGATAACTTTAGTCACTCCTGGGGAAAAGACTGTTTGCCAGGAACCTTTACCCCCTTACTGGACCTTGCTAAGTCTGCCCCTAAACATAGATACAGAACTAGGTTCCCTTTATCCTTTCATCAGGCCTCTGAGGAAGCCTTAGATTGGCTTGACTCCAAACAGTACACATAAAAGCCATGAGATGGTTTTGCTTGCAATGATACAGTATCTATTTCTCTTTAGTAGCCTCTTAAAAATGTTTTTGATTTTTGATAATTTCATACAATGTACTTTAATAATATTCACCCTCTTCCCAACTCCTTCTAGGTCTTACTTCAACTCCCTACCCACTCAACCTCAGGTTCTCTCTTTTCCCACCACCCACTGCTTTCTCTCCCTTACGAAAAACAATGAAGTCCAATTGTGTTGGCTGACTCCTCTTGGAGTGTGGGTGATATACCAGGTCACTCTACTGAAGAAAATTGACTTTGCCTGTCATCACAGCAATAGAAAGCAAATTAAGACATTGTATACACTCTCTCAGCATCAATCAAAAGCCAATAGCTCCTTAGACAGGAGTCAGATTTCATGCCTCCACTCTTTTATACTGAGATTTTGTCTTGTTTGAGCTTATGCATGTCTTGTGTATGCTGATGACACAACGTCTGTGAGCTCATGTGTACATCTGTCCTGTTGTATCTAAAAAACAGTCTCCTTGAAGTTACCCACCACCTCTGGCTCTTACAACTTTTCTGTCCTCTTTTTCACATAGATCCTTGAATCTTTAAAGGGGGTAAAGAGATATAACATAGACACCCCTTTTAGAGCTGAACATTCCAACATTTCTTATTCTCAAATTGATCAGTTGTGCATCTGTGTATTGATTACCATCTACTGCAAGAAGGCAATTCTCGGATGAGGTTTGAGTGCTACATTGATCTCTAGCTATAGCGAGGAGTTGTTTTATTGCCATGCCCATTCAGCAAAATAATAGTAGTAGCTTTTCCCATAGGGCCTAATACATATCTAACCTCGAGTTCTTGGCCTTATTGGCAGTATCAAGTATGGGTTTCATCTTGTGAAGCAGACCTTAAGTCCAAGCAAAAGTTATCGGTTGCTCCCAAAACGTTCTTGCACTGTTGGATCAGCGAACATATCTTGCCAGTCAGATAATTACTGTAGCTCACAGCATTCATGGTTGAGCTGGACTGATGGTCACTTTTCTCTTCCAGTTGTGTGTCTAGCACCTTACAACACTCTGAATTCTAATCAGTAGGGGTGAAGCTTCTTGTTGAAATAGATTTCTCCATCTTCTGTGACTCAAATATAGGATGTCTTCAGCTGTAGAGTTTTACTATTAGGTTCTAGAGGATAGCAAATAGCATTGGCAACCATCCATAATATTAGCGAGTCTATGGGATGCCTTTTGCCAATGACTCAAAAAGATATAACTCAGTCTGGGTACTGGATGTTTTATTTGGTCTGGTTAGGGACATCATTGCCCCCTCCCCACTACAGAGTAATTCCATTTAAGCTCCTTTTATATACGTATATATTTTAGTAAGCTTCTACAATAGTAGGTATCCATGTTTTTTTCAAAAGGATTCTAATGTTAGTTATTCTCCCCCGCTTACATCCCTCCTCTAGCCTGTCCTCACATCCTCCATTCCATTTTTCTATAACACTGTTTCTATTTCCTCTTCCTTGAAAGAGTCCCCCAGCCCATGTTCCTTTACTAGTTACCTAACCTCTGTTGGTATTCTGAACAATATATACACATATCCAAAATTCAAAGGCTAACATCCATATATGACAAAAAACATAAAGTGTTATCTTCCTAGGTCTGGGTTACCTTACATAGGATGACTATTTCCAGTTCCACGCATTTTCCTGTAAATTATACTTTTTAACAGCTGAATAATAGTCCATTGTGCAAATGTACCACATATTATTATCCCTTCATCAGACAATGCACTTCTAGATTGCTTCCAATTATTGGCTATTATGAATAGAGCCTCCATGAATATGAATGAGCAAGTATTTCTATAATGTAATATGGTCTATCTAGACAAACATTTTATGTTTTCTGTCATACATGAATGTTAGTCTTTAACTTTTGGATATGTATATATATCCTTCAGAATACCACCAGCCAGACTGTCCTCATTTCACTAGGCTAGGCAGTGGAATACTGATGTCAACAGAAGGTGGTGTTCCTGACCTTATAGGTACACTCTTGACTTTCCTCCCACAGAAGCCCATAGCTTTCAGTATTTGACACTGAGGTTCTTGACCTATGGAGTTTAACAATTAAATGATGTCACACATATTTTCTGTTCTGCCTTCTGGGCAGGAACGAAGATCCTGCTTGAGCCTGGGTGGTTCACTAGTTGGTCCTGTTGCTTCTTTAACAGAATTACAACAATCCTTTTGTGTTCTCACATGGGAACATCTCTCTCCAACAAGATCTCGAGTTCCTTGCAGTATCCAGTGTAGTGATGAATACTTGTTGACCTGATTTCTTAATGTTTTATCTAGAATTTCTACTTGGATAATAAAGGGAAAAAAGAAAACAAGGAAACCAATGAGAAAATGAATGCTAAAAACAAAGAATACTTACTTGAGGTAAGCTTCACTTTGCATAATACAAAAAAAGCACAAGACATTTGCTAGATCTATTAAATTATTGCCTCACACAATAATAGAGACTTCTGAAATGCGCTATAAAATTTTAACTTGCAGTTTTAGATGCTAGTTGTTATCAAATGATAACGATTTAGACAATTCAATGACTTTTTTGAGTCAGTTATAATAAAGTATGACTTTAGACAAAAAAGTTTGCTTTTAAGAAATTGAATTAGTAATTCTGTCACTAAAAAGACATGAATCGTCATGAAACTCTCTGTGACATGTATGTTCCACTTCATGAAACTCACTATGACATGGATGCCTCACTTTATGACTCATTCTGACGTGTATGTTCTATTTCATGACACTCACTGTGACATGTATGTTCCACTTCATGAAGCTCAGTATGAGATGTACATTCTACTTTATGATACTCACTGTGACATGTATGTTTTCACTTCATGAAGATCAGTAAGACATGTATGTTCTACTTCATGACACTCATTGTGACATGGTATTCTATGTCATGACACTATGACATGTATGTTCTACTTCATGAAGCTCCATATGACATGTATGTTCTACTTCACAACACTCACTGTGACATGCATGTTTCGCTTCATGAAAATTGCTATGACATATATGTTCTAGTTCATAACACTCATTGTGACATGTATATTCTATTTCATGACACTCAGTGACATTTTTGTTCCATTTCATGACACTCACTGTAACATGTATGCTCTACTTCACAACACTCACTGTGACATGTATTTTCTACTTCACAACACTCACTGTGACATGTATGTTTCACTTCATGACACTCACAGTGACATGTATGTTCTACTTTATGACTCACTGTAACATGTATGTTCTACTTCACAATGCTTACTGTGGCATGTATGTTCTACTTCATGACACCTACTGTGACATTTATTCAGCTTCATGACACTTGCTGTGACATCTGTGTTTCATCTCAGAAGGGTTCTATGGAATCATGTGTAAGGATTTCCAAATCTTTGTCTTTGGCAAAGCTCTTCTAGCAGCCCAGAAGAAGTGTGAAGTCTAGAGATAGAGACATGACTTAGGATGTAACTCTGTCAGTTGGTCACGTGCTAATGGCTAGAACACACCTCTGTGAGCCTCAGTAGCAAATCATATGGGATCATCATGGAGATTCAGAGAGGAGATGAATGCCTAGCACCTTTGATGGTCGACATAGGGGGCACACTCCTTAAATTCCTACTGTTAGAAGCTATTGAGGCAACTTGCTAAAGACCACGACCATCTAGCAGGTCTCAGGTCACACATGGAAACCCTAGAGCCCCAGGCAAGTTGCCTTTATTCACTCCCAACATAGTGTTGATCTGTCTTTAATTAATAGACTTTTCTTTCAGAAGTGCAGATCTGGTAAGGAACACAGCACCTACGGAACCAATTTACTGACTCTAAACTGCACCATATTCTGTCCCCCGATGGGCTCACCTCCTCCTGTGTTTCCATTCCCTGCCATGTTCTAGAAGCCCTAGACTAAAACTGGAGCAGGTTCTAGATCCTTGCTGCCACCCCCCAAAGTCCTGAACATGCTCTTCCTGGTCTAGTCTGAACTGTAATGGGCATGTCAACGGAGGCCCAACAATGAAAATGAGACATCCTTTCTACTCCAGCCCTTAGACTCTAGAACAGCAGTTCTCAACCTGGGGGTCAAACAACTCTTTCACAGGGGCCACCTAAGACCATTGGAAAACATTTCTAATGGTCTTCCATCTCTAGGTAGATCTGCCCACATACAAGAACCCAGTAAAGCATAGGAAACTTTAGTGAACTGTATTGACTGAACTATGCAATGTATCATCTTTTATATTATTAAAGCTGTTGTTAGATATTTCATAATGTAAAATTACATGTTGTTTTGTGATTAATCACTATGCTTTAATTATGTTCAATTTGTAATAATGAAAATACACCCTGAATATCAGATATTTACTTTAATATTCACAACAGTAGCAAAATTACAGTTGTGAAGTAACAACAAGAATAATTTATGTTTGGGGGTCACCCGGACATGAGGAGCTGTATTAAAGTGTCACACATTAGGAAGGTTGAGAACCACTGCCCTGGTATGAATTGATGAAAATGAAACACTAATGTCGCCGAAAGCAAGGATAGGAAGAGTTCTGACATGTCTAGTGATGGCAGAGACTGACTGTCATGGAAAATATTTTCCTGCCAGAGTCATGTGCTTTAACCAATGATTAGAAATTAATTGTCTATAAGAGAACACCTGCTTGTGTGAGGATTGATACAGTTGCATGGATAGCCCTTTAGATTTGATTTCAAAAGTATGCACAGCTAAACGTGAACAAAAATACAAAAGCGTTGTTCTGCCATCAGCTTTGGGCCAAAAATCCATATACTTAATAGAGGACAAGCCAACTGCTACCTGAACCAGAGGGTCACAGAGAGAAATGTGAACAGACCAGTTCTCCAGCTCTCCTGCACAGATGTTTACTTTGGAGGATGCATTTATGAAACTATACTGATAATATAATATTAAAAGAAAATGATAACCTTGCATATCCAAGCAAAAGAATAAGAATAATGTGAAATCTATCCCATTGCTTTTAAAAAATTTTATTGAGAATTATAAATTTCTATGCAAGATTTGAACATACATACCCAGAAAATGTATTTTACCCTGTTTATTATTGTCTTAATAATGGCCCTTCTTGTGTTTGAAAACTTAAAATAATAAAATATTAACTTATTTTATGTGTAGAATTATATAATAATCTTACTACTTAATGGTGATAAAATATCAATTCTTTTTTGTTTGTTTGTTTTGCTTTTGGGGGTTGTCGTTGGTTTTGTTTTTTGTTTTTGTTTTGAGATAGAGTTTCATTCTACATACCACTCTTGCCTGGAACTTACTCACCCAAGCTGGGCTCATACTTGTGGCAATTCTCCTGCTTTAACCCCCTCAAGTGCTGAAATTATGAGCAGGAGCCACCCATGCCTGGCTAGTAGTCACCTTACTCATGTGGAAAGAAATTGTTATGTTCCAACTCATAACAATATTAGAAGGCTTTATTGGATACTTACTTTTACAATATAATAATATTATACTCACAGCCAAAATCAAACTATTGCTCCATTTTTACAAAAACAGAAGCTGAGATGTAGTGATCCACAGATACATAGCTCAGCTGCAAGAAGTGGCGACACAGACCAGGACCCTGCATCTTTGGTACAGTGAGCTCTTCTCCTCACAACATACAAAGCACGTCTTCAATCTTTCCAACAGAATTGACTTAACCTGGGAATATTCTTTAAATGTGAACAGAATGTGTGTTTCATGCCTCTGGGTTCTGTTTTCAGGAAAGTTTCTGTGGCACATCTATCATCGTACCAGAACTTGAAGGAGCTCTTTATTTGAAAGAAGATGGGAAAAAATCCTGGAAACGGCGCTACTTTCTTCTAAGAGCTTCTGGAATTTATTATGTTCCCAAAGGAAAGACAAAGGTCTGTCTGTCAGTTTTTTCTATAACAACATGTATGAGACAATCAATATTTAAAAAAAAAAAACCCATAGGTTTGTCCCACAGGTAAGTCTCAGGTTTTTGCAGAAGATGGGGTAGAAAGATGGTAAGACCCAGAGGGAGTTTGCTGTGAGATCGTGTCTCCTAGCAATATCAAAAGCTACATACATAAAGTCTCAGCAACACAACTGCCTAAACATGAGCTGACCAAGGACAACAATAGACATGCTAATGTGGACATGGGAAAGCCCATGAGGCTTCACCCCTATACAGAGAACTACAAGCAACTGGTAATGCTGATAGAGAAATAGTCTTCCCCAGGGAAGAGCACACCAATTGGTTATCCAAAGCAAATGGTCATTTCTGAAAGCCTATAATATTGTATTTAGAAATACACATGTAGTCGCCATTACTGAAAAAGAGGCTATGAATTTGAGAGAGAGTAAGGATGGGTATATACAGGAGGGCTTGAAGAGAGGAAAGGGAATGGGGAAATAAGGTAATTATAAATCTCAAAAATTAAAATAAATATTTTTAAGACAAGTTTATTTTGGCTCAGTTTTGGAGATCAGCCTATTGTTTTGAGTCTGTGGCAAGGCAACTCCTTATAGGAAGTAACCTGGCAGGGGAAGGCCTTACCTCAGGGCTAGAAGCAAAAGAGAGAAGCCAGGGTCCCACAACCCCTTCTGGAAACACACAAGTAGTCCCACCGCCTATTGGTGCTACCCCCTCTCAGTAGTGCCACAGGCCTTAGCATATGACCCTTAGAGGTCATTCTACCACAATTGGAAAGCAACATAACAAAATGAAAAATAAAGATGGCACCTGTATGAGGAAACATCTTATGAGGGCGAGACACAGAAATACATCAGGAGGCGGTAAGCTTGGCTTTAGCTAAAGGTACCATGGTCAGCTATCATGGTACCATGGGACCTGTGCTATTGCACAATCTACACAATTATATGTACTACGATACAAAATCATTGAAGTGATTTGAGTTTTCTATAGCTTTCTCTTGAATATAAAAGTAAATTCCATGTTATAAAGTCATGGGCTATCAAGATGGCTCAGCAGATAAAGATGCCTCCTGCCAAGCCTGACCAACTCTATTCTGAAAACTTTTTTCTTTATATTAATCCCTTTGTTCTATGATCATTATGATCAAAACTATTTTATCTAAAATCTCAGTTGAGTTAGAAGCTTAAGATCTTCGTTAGATTTAAATCTTATATTCTGAATAGTGATTTTTTTTTCAGAGGCATGCTTAATTCATTATGCTTTTAATTTATCAGAGTATTTTAGATGTCATTTAAGTTTTGCTTGGCAAGCTGGGATCACTGACTTGAATCTACAAACGTATAGTAAATTGTTCTAAATCTAATATTATGGCTCTGATCATTAACCCTACTGAGGCCTTTCTTGCAGAATTGGGATGGTCTGGTTTTTCTCGCCCATAAAAAGCCGAAGTGTTTTTGTGTCTCATCCTCATGAAATGTTTACCTCTGTCTAGAATACGAGGAACAGGGTTTCACCAAGTGACACATTTGTGGATTCCCAGTTTCCTCTAGTAAGCCTTATCCCATTTTCCCAAGCAGGGAAGTCACCAGTCAGGCACACACACACACACACACACACACACACACACACACACCTCCCCTCTGGGTCTCTGTGTCACTCTAGGTCATTGTAGATAATTCTTGATGCAAGGCACATGTTGCCCAACTTTGCCTTTTTATTCTGGTGTGAATCTTAGACCTGGTTCTTCCTACCTCTGCCACATTTACACCAGTTCATCACTGGACACGCAACATTGGTAAGCAAATGATTTCTTTTATTTGACAACAGAGATGTCCCAAGAAGTTGGATATAAAACATGTAAGTAAGCCTGAAACAACAGGTGAAATAGCCTGTGATCACCTTAAGGTTGAGCAACTGTTGCCACGAACATTAGGGTGGAGGTCAGAGGGCAAAAGTCAGAAGTACAGTCATTGGGGAAAGACATAAAAAACACATGGTTCACAGCTGCCATGCTTGTCTCCACAACAGAGGAAGCTTGCCTGGAAAATGATTGTGACTAAACAAACTAGCCAAGTAAGAAATCATTTTTCTTTATACAGCAATATGAAAATAAAACATACTTCAAATTCTGTGCAGAGCAGGAGTAACACTGTAGAATAAACAAATGTATGGAATAAACACAAACATTCAAGATGCACATTACATAAAATAGACAATGTTTACCAAACAAAAAGTGGTTCTACGAATCTTTGAAAATTCAAGTTGTGTTCTTTTTACTTTTTTTTTTAATTTTTTTTATTGGATATTTTATTTACATTTCATATGTTGTCCCCTTACCCCATCCCCCACCCACCCAGGAACCCCCTATCCCCTTACCCCTCCTCCTTCTTCTCTGTGGATGTGACCCCTACCTACCCCCGACTCCCACTTTCCCACCCTCAAAATTCCCACCCCCTGGGGCGTCCAGGCTTCATGAGGTCAAGGATCTCATCTTCCACCTATGCCCAGCAGGGCCCTCCACTCTTACATATTCAGCTGAAGCCCTGGATCCCTCCCTAAGTCCTCCCAGGCTGGTGGTTTAGACCCTGGGAGCTGTGGTTGGTTGGTATTGTTGCTCTCCTCATGGTGCCACAAACCCTTTCAGCTCCTTCAGTCCTCACTCTAACTCCTCCATTGAGAACCCCATGATCAGTTCAATGGCTAGTTGTGAGCATCTGCCTCTGAATATGTCAGACTCTTGAAGGCCTCTGAGGAGATATCCATATCAGGCTCTTATCAGCATGCACTTCCTGACTTCCACATCAGCATCTACCTTTGGTGACTGCACATGGGATGGATACTCAGGTGGAAAGGTCTTCAAATGGCCCCTCCTTCAGTTTCTGTCCCTCACTTTGTCTCCATATTTGCTACCTTGAGTATTTTGTTGCTCCTTCTAAGAAGAACCGAATCACCCCCACTTGGTCTTCCTTCTTTATGAGCTTCATGTGGCCTGTGAGTTGCATCTTGGGCATTTCAAGGTTCTGGGCTAATATCCGATAATCAGTGAGTGAATACCATGTGTGTTCTTTTGTGATTGGCTTACTTCACTCAGGATGATGATTTCTAGTTCCATCCATTTACCTAGGAAACTCTCGAATTCATTGTTTTTAATAGCTGAGTAATACTCCATTGTGTAAATATACCACATGTTTTGAATCCATTCCTCAGTTGAAGGACATCTGGGTTCTTTCCAGCTCCTGGCTATTATAAATAAGGCTGCTATGAACATAGTTGAGCATATGTCCTTGTTATATGTTCGAGCATATTCTGGGTATATGCCTAGGAGTGGTATAGCTAGATCCTCAGGTAATGCTATGTCCAATTTTCTGAGGAACCGCCACACTGATTTCCAAAGTGGTTGCACCATCTTGCAGTCCCACCAACAATGGAGGAGTGTTCCTCTTTCTCCACACCCTCGCCAGCATCTACTATCACCTGAATTTTTAATCTTAGCCATTCTGACTGGTGTGAGATGGAATCTCAGGGTTGTTTTGATTTGCATTTCCCTGATGACTAAGGACACTGAACATTTCTTTAGGTGCTTCTCGGCCATTCAAATTTCTTCCATTGAAAATTCTTTGTTAAGCTCTATACCCCATTTTTTAATAGGGTTATTTGGTTGTCTGGAGTCTAATTTCTTGAGTTCTTTGTATATATTGGATATTAGCCCTCTATCAGATGAAGGATTGATAAAGATCTTTTCCCAATTTGTTGGTTGTCGTTTTGTCCTATTGACAGTGTCCTTTGCCTTACAGAAACTTTGCAATTTTATGAAGTCCCATTTGTCAATTCTCGATCTTAGAGCATATGCCATTGGTGTTCTGTTCAGGAACTTTTCCCCTGTGCCCAAGTATTCGAGGCTCTTCCCCACCTTCTCTTCTATTAGTTTCAGTGTATCTGGTTTTATGTGGAGGTCCTTTATCCACGTAGACTTGAGCTTTGTACAAGGAGATAAGAATGGATCAATTTTCATTCTTCTACATGTTGTCCTCCAGTTGAACCAGCACCATTTGTTGAAAATGCTGTCCTTTTTCCACTGGACAGTTTTAGCTCCTTTGTCAAAGATCAAGTGACCATAGGAATGTGGGTTCATTTCTGGGTCTTCAATTCTATTCCATTGATCTTCCTGCCTGTCTCTGTACCAATACCAGGCAGTTTTTATCACTATTGCTCTGTAGTACAGCTTGAGGTCAGGGATGGTGATTCCTCCAGAAGTTCTTTTATTGTTAAGAATAGTTTTCGCTATCCTGGGTTTTTTGTTATTCCATATGAATTTGAGAATTTCCTTTTCTAACTCTGTGAAGAATTGAGTTGGGATTTTAATGAGGATTGCATTGAATCTGTAGATTACTTTTGGCAAGATGGCCATTTTTATTATATTAATCCTGCCAATACATGAGCATGGGAGATCTTTCCATCTTCTGAGATCTTCGATTTCTTTCTTCAGGGACTTGAAGTTGTCATACAGGTCTTTCACTTGCTTGGTTAGATTCACACCAAGGTATTTCATATTATTTGTGACTATTGTGAAGGATGTCATTTCCCTAATTTCTTTTTCAATCTGTTTATCTTTCATGTAGAGGAAGGCTACTGATTTGTTTGAGTTGATTTTATAACCAGCCACTTTGCTGAAGTTATTTATCAGGCTTAGGAGTTCTCTGGTGGAAGTTTGGGGGTCACTTAAGTATACTATCATATCATCTGCAAATAGTGATATTTTGACTTCTTCCTTTCCTATTTGTATCCCTTTGACTTCTTTTTGTTGCCTAATTGCTCTGGCTAGGACTTCCAGTACTATATTGAATAGGTAGGGTGAGAGTGGGCAGCCTTGTCTAGTCCCTGATCTTAGTGGGATTGCTTCAAGTTTCTCTCCATTTAGCTTGATGTTGGCTACTGGTTTGCTGTAAATTGCTTTTACTATGTTTA